AATATGATTTTTATTTTTTTATTATAAATTTAATATGTAAAAATATATAAATACATTATAAAAATAATAAAATTTTAAAAATTTTAAAAAAGAAAGTATTCACAACCAATCACCCCCTAAATCGAAAGCGGTAGGTATAGAAGCAACATTCCACCTGGAAGTTGCACGTTGCAATCAATTGCAAGCATTTGTGGAATAACCGTAGAATGTTAAAAGTCTGTCAGACATACCTGTTTGCAAAAGTTTAGCAAAGAAAAGTCATGCGCAGAGTTGCCGGCCATTAAAACACTTGGAGTTAAGCTGAAAAATCACCAGCTCAGCTGCCCAAGCAGAGGGTCAACTGTTTGATTCGTCCCAAACACTAACAAATGCTGACACTAGTCATAACTATTTTCTATGGCCAAAAAAAAAAAAAAAACGCAAAGGGTTAATAAAATCTGCCTCTTTACCCTACACTTTAATTCCACATCCTGGAAAATTCAGGCTTTGTGGGGAGACCCCACTTTAGATACGGATCAGTGTTAGCCTTGCAACTTCTTTTCACTTACATGGAATAATTCAAGGTACAAACAACATGCAGACAAGAAAGTTTTGTTGTAATGAATCCACCATAATCAATAACAATACAGATCTAAAGTAACAAATAGGATAGTATCATTGTCTTGTATGTAAAGTATACAAGAAAATGGATGAATCCGTGAACAGTATTTCCTTATGATATGCAGCATGGGGCATAAAGTTCAAGATTCCTCTATCGAGCATTGTCAAGCTAAGTTCATTGGTTGCAGATGATTCCATCATACTTGATGAAGAACCTGTTTCTAATTATATCTTCTTTTCCATGAGGAAAACCGGGTTCTTTGGGTTAAGCCAACCCAATCTTACAACCCAGCATTAGAACCACGGATGACATGCTAGGTCCGTCGTAAGGATGTTGTTGAACACATAACAGGCCTATTTGGATGCACCGGATCACTTCTGATAAGGTGCATGACTCTTCCAAAAATGAATCAATCAGTTCTATGGGCTTTCCTTTTCTCCACAATCTCTATGCCTAAGACAAATACATACTATAAAATTTTTTTCATTTCTCAGTTCAAAGTATGTTCCAAAAGTAAGTCTTGATACTTGCATCCAATCAGGTTAAGGCCATGGTTAATATGATAAAACCCTCTATTTTTCTTCTTGCTTGTTATCTCCCCAATTTCCTTGAGAACTGTTGATCAATAGCATATTATGGTCCTATATAACTACTATGGAAAATCATTTAAAAAAAATTATACACCTGAGGTTATTTGGGAGATCTAAGCATAGAAATAAGACTTACTAGGTTGCAACCACTCTGTTTGTTCTCCCTTCAATATTCTAGTCTTCTCCAACAGTTCTAGCCAAGCCAAAGTCTGAGATTTTGGGTTAATCTCTTTATCAAGTAGAACATTAGTGGCTTTGAGATCTCCATGAATGATCCTTAATCTAGAATCTTGGTGTAAAGAGAGAAGCCCCCTAGAAATTGCACAGAAAATGTTAAAACTCTTGGACCAAGCTAATAGTTTTCTTCTTGTTTAATCTGGCAGGTATGATATTCACATTAGTGTAGTTTCCTAAAATTGTGCGTGCACAAACTAGTTTTGATAAATTCAGTGCCACTCCTACAAAGTGTATTTGGTTTTTAATTTGACCAAAAATGAAGAAGTCCAAACTTTTGTTGGATATGTATTCATAAATCAACATTTTCTCCTCTCCTAGGAGGCAGCATCCTAGAAGCCTTACAAGATTACAATGTTGAAGTTTGGCTATATGTGCAACTTCATTCTTGAACTCATTTAATCCTTGCCCAGAGCTTCTTGAAAGCCTCTTCACAGTAATTTCTTGTCCAACCCAAGCAAAGGGTCAATAAAAGTAATCCTCATATTCCACTTTGGTTCAAGAGTTAGATTTTGAAGGATATGAAACTAAGAAAGGAGAGATTGAGTGTAGAAGCTACATTAAATTTTCATTATGCAAAATACTTAAGTACACACGAATAAAAATTCTGATGCTGAAGCTTGGCAATCAGCTTAACTTCATTCTTGAACTCATTTAATCCATGTCCAGAACTCTGGGAAAGCCTTTTCACAGCAATTTCTTACCCATCCATTAGAAACACATACAATGTACTTATGGCTAGTTTTAGTAGTATACTGCAACATCCCTCTTTTGTGAGTTGAAAACTCATTTTTTTCATTCATCTTTTGCCATTATATAGCAGAAATCATTTAATACAAAAGAATAATTTTCTCACCTAATATTTTCCTAATACAAGAAAATCTATCAAACATTTTATCATAACTCAAATTTTAGTAGAATTTTATTTTATTTTTATTTTTATTTTTACTAATATGTTTTGTCTTTGTTTTACTTGTTAGGTTCATTAAAAAAAATGGGGGAGCAAAAAAGGAAATTTTATGAAGAAGATTGGAAAAGAAGATGAGAGAAAGAACTCAATTGAAGAAATGGAAAGTTGGAGGGGTGAAATGCAAAGTCTAGCCCAAAACCCATCAAACCCAAACCAAAACCCAAACTCAAATCCAATTACCCAAAACCCACCAAAATCCAAAGCCTACCAACTACCCAAGCCCAAAATCCCAAAACCAAAAATTACCCAAAACCCAAAACCCACAATTACTCAAACCCAAGCCCATTTAACCTAAGAAAAAAAAAGGAAAAAAAAAAAAGGAGGAAATAAAAAAAATGGATCTGGAACCTTCTTCCTCCTCACCCGACTTTCTCCTTTTCCTTCCCTCCCCAAAACCAGCCAACAGCTTCCTCCCAAACCAGCCGGCGGCCACATGCCCAGCCATCACCATGCCCTACCCCCCCCTCTCACCGAGCCATCATCCCCCTACCACACCTACGCCCTGCCTTGCTCAGCCCAGACCCTGTGCACCAAACCCGTTCCACCTCCCTCTGCACCGAATCAGCTTCCACCCCCTCTGCACCAATCTCCTGCATCCTCTCCCCTCTGCATCAATCCCCAGCTCTGCACCGCGCCAGCCTAGCTCTGCCACAGGTCCCCTGCCTTGCACCCGAGCCTTGCTCCTGCGCTTGACCGTGCCTTCTGCTCCCAGATATCTCCTCTGC